TGGGATATATATGTTTTCAGAAAAGAATGTGATCAAGTACATAGCATGTTCCAAAGCTGTCAATCAGGAATAGTCTCAGGGTAGCTCTGCTGAACATTTGGAGAGCTCCTGCCATACATTTATTTTTTCATTGCCAGATTTAATTATGTCCTTGCTTCCTTAGGATGAGAAACAGGCATATGGGAAAGGTGTAATTACATTCCCATTGGTAGTGTAATAATATTCCATGACAGGAAAATATAGCCACCATATGTTGTATTCTGTAAGTTAAAAAAAATTTTTTTCCCCAAGCTTCTGGGACTACTCTGACTGAACTTGAAAAATGAAAAATCTCTTTCTAGATAGTATTCCTAATGGCTTATTACAGTGATATCAAGTTAGGTTCTGTAGTATAAAACCTTATTTTGTTAAGAGATGAAAACTTTTGAACTGAATTTAAAAATTCATATGGCTCCCATTCTTAAATTAATGACAATTATTCAGCTTTGACCATTGTTTTATTATTTTTATATTGCAAAATAAAATTTACCATGAAAAAATTTTAATAAAACCTTCATTTTATATTTAAAAAATCCTAAGATTTTACTTAAACTTTGTAAAGTAAGATATTTCAGAAGGAGATGAGGGAATAATAGCACATTTCCGTAGTTGCTTTCCCCAAATCAACTGATTTACCCAGATTTCCAGACTCTCTTGGTTGGTCTTTTCTGATAGTGTGGTCAGCTCTTAAAACTTTGAGTCCTTGCTCTTGCTGACAGATTGAAGATGCACTGAAGGCGGCAGACACCATTGGCTACCCGGTGATGATCCGCTCTGCCTACGCCCTGGGCGGGTTAGGCTCAGGCATCTGTCCTAATAAGGAGACCTTGCTGGACCTCAGCACAAAGGTATGTATTCTCACAGGTCGAATTCTTACTAACCAAGGAAACTAACTGATACACTCTTCCAATAAAAGAAAGTTATGTAGGTGAGAAACGGCCTTTTCTCTGTTTATAAATCACTGCCACGTTCTCTAAATGTGTTGTCCAAGAGACGACACTTTTGAAAGAGAAGCACAGTGCAGTTATTTACACTGGAACACGGCATTAGCCCAAAGCCGTTTTTATTGTACTGTCTGTTGATTTCATTGATATGAAATCAATCCAATTCCATCTCTCTCTGCTTCAAAACACCCATCATGCTAAAAATGCTTTTTAGTGGTTTAAAAAACTCAGAATATAATGTCCCATTTTGCCATTATTTTTTGAAACAATATGACATGGATGACATCCAGTAAGAGAAACAAAACACATTGAGTAGTTTAGTTTTACCTCAAATTCAGGTGTTTAAATGTTATGATATAAGCCTCTTAGTACCATAAATGAGTGATGTCTCTGCCAACTGCCACACACAGATAAAAGCAAAAGTGAGATTTGAGTGCTTACAATTTATTTTCTATCAAAATCACTTTAGCATATTTCTGAATGCTTCTTAAGTATTAAAGGGAAAATCTTGATAAAATTAAGATATGCTTCAAAAAATAAATTAGAGATTAACACAGAAACTGTGCTCCACGAGAGCAGAGAATTTTGCCCACACTCTATTCCCACAGAACTGAGCAGTGTCTCACAATACTGGGGCTCAGTAAGTAAGTCCTTGTTGAGTGGATGAATCCGTGTGTGGCCCAGAGGCCCATGTGACTTTCCACATGGCAGTCATGGAAGTGAAGCTGATGGAATTATTGTAAGGGCTGTTTTGGGGAGTGCTGGGTCAATATCAAGCAGAGTTTATAGCCTTATCATTATTTACTTTTTTGGAGTGGAACAAAATGTGGCCCTTGAATTATTGACATAGGATTCTGGAAACAGATAGATAAAATTAAATATATTTAAATAACTGCAATCGCAAACTCACATGTCAACAACTTGGACTTTCTTTTTCTTAAGTTGCTAAAACAAACTGAAAAAAGCAAAACGTATCCAACATAAATATTTATTGTTTCCATTCTGGACTTCTGAATCATGTATGTAAAGGAAAGACATGTTTATGGAGGTATAACTTTCTTTTCCCTCTAGTATATTGGAAGCTCCCAATGTTTTTAATATTAACAACCTCATTATTACTGTCAATAGTGACCATGCATACTTATTCTTGATTAAGAATATTTTTTTACAGTATAAAAAAACATTCTTAATACTTAATTGTCTAAAAATATTTACCAGGAAGACAGTTTTGAAATGGAATACTTTTAAATTATTTATATTCCTCTAAAATAATTAATAGGTCATTGAATGGTTTTCTTTGTTGAAAACCTAGCTTTTCCTCTGAGAATAATTACATGTATTGCTATATACTGAGCTCCTCCTTATTCTCTTGAGATTATATTTAGCATCACTACAAACCACATTAACTGATCTAGGTCCCTAAATTAATCTTTGTATAAAATCTAAGACTAGGAAGAAAAAAACTGAGGCAACAGACGAAGATGATCTTTACTGTTCCTGTGTCCAGTCTACTCCATTAGAATGCAAAAAGCTCCCCCAAATTCATCTGCTTTGTTTCCCAGATTTCTTCTTTTAGCAGGCAATCCTAATGACAAATTAATCATTATTAAATTGTTCATACTAGATACACAGTTTCCTAACCACTTTGAAAACTTCATCATGGATAGCTGTGGGGACCAGTGTGTTACGTTTTCTGTTGCACTTGCTGGAGCCTGAGGTTAAAAAAATAATGTTGAGGCACATCATGGAATAGTTTACACTGAGTTATTATTTCATTAAACAGCCTGCTAATAATTTGGAAAAAATCAAACTACCTTTCCCTAATTGCTTTCTCTTCTTTTCACTGCCATCGCAAATCAAAAACATTATGAGACAAAGGGACATTTCTTTCTTGGGTTTTCAGCCACTAAATGTCCTGAGGTCAGAGACTGCTTCTTTCAGATTTGGGGTTCAGCGTTCTACCCACCGGTAGGCAAAGAATAAATAAGAAATGATAATTATACTAATTCATATCTGCTTAATTAGGCATGCATGATATATGACTCAGAGTATTTAAGCACTTAGGCAGTGATTACCCATAATAATAGTCGCGTATGATTCTTCTAATTCCCAAGTTTCATATGCCATCTTGGCTAACTGTTTACAACCATCATCATCTCCTTTCTTCTCCTCATCAACATCGACTGACTTTTATTGTGTATGTTCTTTACAAAGCACCCTCAGCTATTTTAGAGAAAGACAGAGTCTTTATACTTATTTTTCCATATTTATTCACACTTATCACATTTTCTGGTTTCACAGAAGCCTAGCTGCTGAAATAATTTCATTTCCCTTTGCCTGATTGCTCAATTATTTTCTCCTTTTCCTAAATTAGTTTGATTTAATGTCATATCAGCACTTTGAATGGCAAGCCTCAATAATGTAAATCAAGCATATTCACTGCACGATGCTATTCCTGGTACCTCACTGATTTCCTGGCACATTGTGCCTTCTGGAGCATAGAGGAGGATGGGAGACTAGGCTTGAGACTTCAGCGCAGACCAGGATTTAGGCCAGGGCGTTTTGCCAGATATCCATGTTTCCTGACTCTTTGATATCTTTTGTCACCAATTTCTAGGCCTTTGCTATGACCAATCAGATTCTGGTGGAGAGGTCAGTGACAGGTTGGAAAGAAATAGAATTTGAAGTGGTCCGAGATGCTGATGATAACTGTGTCACTGTCTGTAGCATGGAAAATGTTGATGCCATGGGTGTTCATACAGGTAGGCAAAGAAGCTTCAAGCATTGTAGTAATGCCTTCAGCTCATGTCTCTGATGGTTCGTAGCAGTCTTTGTTACATTCTTTTCTTTAAATTACAGTCTTTAGTTGAGACATTTGTGATACAATTTTACATATATAGTATTTTATAGTATTGAAAGTACTTACATTTAATTTGATCTTCACAAAAACCCTCTGAAGTAGGGCAAGTTTTATGATACTGATTTCATTTGGGGAAAGGACCAAATATAAACAATAGTGAAGGTAAAATCTCCAAGACTTGGTGTTGAGAATTAAGGAGGGAAGTTAAGAAACCTTCAAACAGACAGAATGTTAGTCACCAAGTGGATGAGAAAACAGCCACAATAAATAGAAATGGGTGAAATAAATATGTTCCTCCGGAAAGGAAACTAGTTAGACTAGAGGGCAAGGATGATGACACAGGATTTAGAAATGCTAAACGCGAGATGTGGGTGGAACTCTCAAGAAGAGGTTTGAGAATGTGGAGCTGGAATTCAAGAAAAGTGGATCGAAATAAAGAAGTTGATACAAAGTCATTGGTAGACTTGGTTTAAAGGAAATAATTGAAGCTGGAAGCATAGTCTAAGCATTCAAAGGCACAGGCATGGAAAGAAAGAGAGTTGGGTGAGAACTGAACCCTGGGAAACATTCAGATTTATAGGGCAGGAGAAGAAGGAAGGATTAGTGTTGAAGAAAAAGAAGGAAGTGATAGTTACCAAGTAAACTAATGCAGGAAATATTTTATAAAAGCTTTGGTTTTGACCATAGCAAATGCTATGAAAGGTCAAGAATGAGGATTTAATGCTGGATGTTCAAGAGGACAGTTTTAATGCAAAGTTGGTTATGTGAGTTGTATTGGAAGAAACTACATGAGTATGAGTGATAAGCAGAACTGATAAACTTTCAAGAAGTTTAGTCGCGTAAAGGATGAGAGATGGTTCTTGAAATTGGCAGTTAGGAGAGGGGCTTCTTGAACGAGTAGAGATATGACCATGTTTATAGGCAGAAGGGATGGTGACTAAGGACTGGAAAGGGGGTTTTCAGGATTTAGTGCTCTGTCAATAAAATGTGATGCAAATGAAAAAAAGAGACTGAGGATACAGGAGGCTATGATTACAGAGGAGTTAGAAAACAGGAAGGGATGAGATATAGAAAACTGATGGATGAGTCAGCCTGGGTGAAGAGGAGCTGCTATTTTATAGAAGGAAGAACTTGAGAGATAATTTGAGATACAGAGAAGGGAAATTGAAGAAGTTAATGTCAAGTAGGTGACTAAGCCTTGATAGCTAGATGAGCTTGGGAAAGCTTAGAGAGATTTCTGTAAACAATATGTCAGAGTAATATGGGTGAAACAATCAGAGGGAATAGCACCTGATGTGCCTAGCATGTATTTCTTCAAGATAATGCTTTTCCCAGCAGACTCTTAGCCTGTTATGTGTCATGTGTCATGTGTCATTCACATAGATGGTTAAGTCACTAAAGTTGGTTATTTAGATATGCTACCAAATAACAAGTGTTGCTTGGATGTACAGGTGATTCGGTGGTTGTGGCCCCCGCCCAGACACTCTCTAACACGGAGTTTCAGCTGTTGAGACAGACGTCAATCAATGTCGTTCGGCACCTAGGCATTGTGGGTGAATGCAACATTCAGTTTGCTCTTCATCCGACCTCAATGGAATACTGTATCATTGAAGTGAATGCCAGACTGTCCCGAAGCTCTGCCCTGGCCTCAAAGGCTACTGGGTAAGCCCAGAATGATTGACCGCTGGTTTGCAGAGTCTTCACAGATTGGATTGGAAAATTGACAGCTAGTGGAAGACGGTGCTGCATTTACAAGCTGTAGTCCCTATTTCTGTATGCTGGCTCCCAATCATGTCCTGAGGACATGGTTATTAATGAATTTGCTGCCAGATTGAGGCAAATGGTATTGCTAGCTGGCTTTGTTTGCTGGCTAATCATAAACTAATCAAAATCTGGGTGGTCAAAGCAGGCTGCGAAAAATCTGCTTCTTAATTGCACTTTGCAGATGTTGTTAGAAAGTGCAAATTAATCCTTAATTTTAGTCCTCAATTAGCTTTTCAGGTGTATAGCAAATGTTAGGCAATGATATAGTTCACTGGACACAAGCATGCGATACACATTATTTTATCTTAGCAAAACTCCACAAGACCAAACAACGTAGAGTTTTTCGATAGGCAAATCTCAAAACTAAATTAATAAATTTGTATCTATTTAACAATTGCTAGCAAGCATAATTGGAGAGAAAATTTGTAAATATCTTCTGTTTCTACTAATATATTTAGCATCTAGTATTTAAATGCCATGAAACTTAAATGAAAAAAATATTTATGCCCAAAGATATGTTTATGTAACTACCCAGTGCTGCCTGGAGTGGTGAAAGGAATGTTGACATAAACAAGAGTCAAGAGACCTGAGTTCTCCTCTGGTTCTTCTACTAAAGGTGTGATTTTGGATACATCACTGATTGCCTCTATCAGTTTCCTTATCGGTTGGATGGGGAGTTGTACTAAAGAACTCATATGTAATTCTATAGTTCTATGAATTTTCTCAAATACAGTTACCCAAACTGACATTCCAGGAGAGTATAGTCCAGTTCCCAGAATGTTAGTTGTGTAAGGCACCCAAAATTCAAAGATAATCTGGAACCAGAGCAAAAACCCAAACTTCCCATGACTGCATTTTATGACCATGACATATCCCACAGTACCAGGTAACTCCACCATCTTCCTAGGTGCAGACGTGTATATATTTTTTCAGAAGAATATTTTGCAGATTCTTATTTTAGTGGAGTTATACACAACTGAGCACTTTATTTATCAAGGAAAGTATTGATTTTGGGTTGAAGTGGTGAAGGTTGAGAGTTGTAGCACTGCATGTCAGGCACAGAGTGTAAATACAATCCATTCCTCTCTACTTTATCATGACTTGCTTTATTTTATAAGGGACTGTTAAATCTTCATACAGAACAGAGAATCAGGTGTGCTTTATACCCTGATGTAAAATGATACCAGAATTTCTAAGAAAAACCAATGTATGTTTTGCACTGTTTTTAATACTTTTTACTGAAAGGAAAAAAAAATGCCTCCTCTTTTACAGCTACCCATTGGCATTCATTGCTGCAAAGATTGCCCTAGGAATTCCACTTCCAGAAATCAAGAACGTTGTGTCGGGGAAGACATCAGCCTGCTTTGAACCCAGCCTGGATTACATGGTCACCAAGATTCCTCGCTGGGACCTCGATCGTTTTCACGGAACATCTAGTCGAATTGGTAGCTCTATGAAAAGTGTAGGAGAGGTGGGTCCTTGGTTTATTCCTCTAGTTCATTCTCATTCTCAGTTATTTTGTTAAACCTTAGTGTCATTGGAAGTCTTAAGTTTGCCTGGATATTGGGCTCTTGATAGAAGAATGTATAGAAATTTCATTCCTCCCTAGTGTTTCAACATAAGACATAGCTGTTTTAAATCTTAATTTTCCAATCATGCTTCAAGGTGCACAACAGAATTATAACTCAAATGCCATGAAAGTTTTGTTGGCAGTACTTCCACCAGATAAATGACTGTTATTCACTTTACATTTCGTGGAAAGAGTCCCCTTTTACAATGTTCATGGTAAAGCTTGTAGGCCAAAGGATTTAAGATGTAAGATAATTTCGTAATGTGTTCACTTAAGGTTTATTATCGAAAGATTTTTATTTTCAGTGAACATTTAACACATTACATTTAGTTCAACTCAAGTTAGTAAACATTTCCTGAGTTCTTACTACATGTAAGACACTGGGAGGTTTATAAAACAGTGAAGAAGATGTAGATAATTGTGACATATTTTCTGTAGCTGGCATGTGCAGAATATTTAAACAGAACCAAGTATAATATGAGTTAAATGGTGGTAAAATTTAAAATACAGTATTTACATGCAGGTGCTATGACAGCATAGTAGAATAGGGCCAGGGAAAGCTGGGATAGTTGTTCCACTGAAAAATGGTGAATTCACTTAATGAATGTGAATTTTAATAATATAAAGTATTAAAAGGCACAAATTTTGAGCAAAGACAATTATGTATTCCTTTTATTATTATATATGTATGTTTACTTCTCTTTTACTGAATAGACTCCATATACCACTATATACAATGTACTTAAAAATAATAAAAATTCATGGTGAGTTCCTTATGGAACTAGTTACTTTAGGGCCACCTTTTAAATATGTAATAGTTACAAGGTTTATTAAATATTCCAAAATATTTTCTTAATTTGATAGTACCATAAAATATCTTATTTCTGCTACTTTTTGAGGCTATGAATATATGTCTAACTCTTCAAACACCAGTATGCCTCACAAATTGCATATCTGAATTAGACTAACATTTTGTTTGTCCCTGCTCTTGAGACTCTTCCCTTATTTCTAATTAAATTTGTAGCAGTGTGAAAAGGTTATCTGTTTGGCTTTAGTGATCTCTGAATATGTATCTTGTCACTCAGTTGACATGAAGATTTACTAAACTGACGTTAATGGGAATTTGGGTCTATTTGAGGCATCACGGAAGTTTACTGAAGGGAGCATTATGACTGTTATTATTTTAAATTGGAGACCAAAAATGCATAGCAATCTATTATTCCATGGAAAGAATCAAAGATAGTGTTTATGCACTGAAAATAACTGGGTAGCCTTCAAGGTTAATTTAAGTTTAGTTCTGACTTGTAACTTGTCCAAACTAAATCACCATATGGTTTTCTTAATTGATTAGTGTATGATCAGCTGCAAAGATTGTGGGAAGACATATTGAATTTGTCATGGGGAATTTAGTCTCCACCTACATTCAAAATCTGAATCTGTCAGTATTTGTTATGATTCTCAAGGTTCTATTAATATTAATGCTTAGCTTTAAAGAAAGACAGCCTGTCTTGGATACTGATACCCAGTTAGACATAGTTCTGTTTTTGTATTAATACATGTCTAGTTTCTCTTCATTTGCTTTTTATTCTGAGGGACATCTGCACAAAAACAAACTCTTATTAAGGAAGGGTCTATATACTCTGGCCACAAATTCTTTATTTCCGTACTATGGTCCAAAGCAAATATGGGTCATTTCCTCATTAGTCTTAGCAAATTCCCTAAGTGATAAAAGAGTGACCCAATGATGTTAAAGACTCATTACATCAAAACTATGGAGAAAAGGAGAGGAAGAAAAATACACTTCAGTAGCATTCTTCTGTTCTGTCTTGTTCCTAGTCTTTTTTGAAAAATATTCAATTTTTAGTTTTGTTACAAATTAAAAACATGCAAGCTCTTTCTATAAATATGGGTCTTAAATGTGGATTACAGGTCATGGCTATTGGTCGTACCTTTGAGGAGAGTTTCCAGAAGGCTTTACGGATGTGCCACCCGTCTATAGATGGTTTCACTTCCCGTCTCCCAATGAACAAAGAGTGGCCATCCAACATCGATCTCAGAAGAGAGCTGGCGGAGCCATCCAGCACCCGCATCTATGCCATCGCCAGGGTAATATGGGACAAGGGGCCCAGTGCTATCAGATATTCTCTGAATATGGTCAGCCTAGACTTAAATGTAAAACTGAATCACTAAGTGGTCTTGAATTCAGGGATTTTTCTTTTGGAAAAAAATTATTTCTCTTTAATAGTCTTAAATTGGAAACTTCTGTGTATTTCATCAGATTATTCTATAATTAATGAAAAATTATCCCTTTTTTGACTTTAAGTCTCCCCTTAAAGGGTACATTGCAGTTTTAAAGGATGATCAAATAGGCAAAATGATCTTGCCTTTTAGTGCACATATTATCAATACTCCAAGGTATGTAATAATACTGATTTGTCATTTCCTATCACTCTCATTACTCACTCCTTGAAAATGTATAAAATTGTATTTAAGAAAGGAAGATTCATAAAATAAGAATATCACTTGGTATGTGCTACCTAAGAGTCTAGAATAATCTTTATTTATTTGCTCCTTTTTCTGTGTTTAAGCAACAGCAAACTATAAAGAATTTCTATGATTATAGGCTTTTCTGTGTAATTATTTTATTGGTTTTCTAGAACAAAAAAGCCCCATATTTCTCACTTCACCCACCAGTTACCTTTAATACAAATTAAATGCCATATTAATCTCCTTTCTTGTTTACTATGCTTAGAATTCTGAAGTTTCAGCTCGTCTGATTTTATAAAAGATACTTGGGCAGCTGGGATCTGTCTGGTCAGAAATCCCCGAATTGCTTTCTGACATTTAAGGAAACTTAGGTATTAATCCTCCAACAGTGTCAGACTACCCTGGAGCTGCAAAGCCCTGATGACCATTGTATGTGTGTGTATGTGCATGTAGGATGAGTTGATGAAAATATGAATTTTGTCTTTAAAAAGGGAACTGTCTCTATAATTGGTCTTTGTAGCAACAGAAAAATGCTGTTAGTGATCTCAAACTCACTGCAACTTTTATGTCCATGTAAAGAGAGTCCTGCAGAGAGAGAAAGAAGGGAAGGGAATGTTTCCTTCAATGCATTCAATGTATACTCTCCTTACAGTTATGATTTCTAAATGCAGGTTATTTAATTTCCACTGAAATTCTGAAGAAGTCTTGGAGATACTAGTATTTTTTGATGGACATTTCTCAATGCTGAGTTTCAAGATAATGGAGAATTAACATTTTTCCATGGTGGTGAGATGAGAGGTTATTCTAGAAAGCCATTTCACCTTCTTGTTCTTATTTCAGTCTTTTGCTTAAAAAGCAACGTACCACATTCATATATGTGTGTATGTGTGTGTGTGTATACATACAATTTTTTTCTCAGACAAAGGGCAGTAAATAGATTTTTTTCCTTTAGTCTAGTAATCATACTTCTGCCATCTTGAGGTGGATGAAAAAAGGAAGTATTTCTGGGTTCCCAGCGAGGCTGTAAAACTCAAGCATATCTCTCATTCTTTTCTAACAGACTTATAAAGAATGAGAATTCAGGGAAAATGTGTGGAGATTCTTTCTAGCACACAGTACGAGCAAGAAGTGCAGGGTCTGAGGTATAAATTACTGCTTGCCAGAGTGCCGGGAGAAGGAACTGATTTCTGTTTGTTAGAGGTCATCATTACTGTTCATTTCCACAGCAACCAGGAACTTCGTGATTTTGACAAAGAGTGTAAGGAGTATGGAGGGCTGAAGGGGAAAAAGAAGGAAGGGAGTGAGTAAATCTTCACTCGCTTTCATGCTTCTTAGAAAGGGCAACTTGCTCTGAGGTCTGATTTCTGCAGCAGTCTTATTTCAGGATGACTGGTCATCACCTCTTTTGACTGGAAGAGAATGCAGGGCATTATTTTTGATTTGGGGAACATCAGAGTAACCTCAAACATATTTGGGGTCATTATGGACTTCGTTACTGCTGTGTGACATGGCAGGTTGCAGCGCTTGAAGACCAAGTCCTAAGACTGGCAGGATCCTGCTTCCCACTCAGAACTGTGGATGTGATGCTGGTCATCCTTCCTCACAGTGAAATGACCACAGATTCCAGGTCCTCCGTCAATTGCAGGATAATTACTGTGTGCAGTCGTGTGAAAACATCCTTTGTTCTGCCAAAAGTGTCACTGACTTAAAGTTCTATCCCCCTCACAATGTTGATGGCCAAACAGCCAACTGTCCCTTTAATCACTTGGCAAGTAAGACAGAATATTAAGGAACGAACCTGGCTACAGTTACAGGGAGAATTAAACAAAAGAAACATAGATAGACCTATGAAGCAAACATGCCTTTGAGTATTCCCATTAGATGTCATTTCATTCTCGTCAACAAAATTATGAGCTGTATTGTCTCTCAACACTTGTAATCATGGTTTCTCAACACTTGTAATCATGGTCTCTCTGATACTAGAAATAAGTAAAAGTTTTAAGAAAATTAAGAAATATAACAGCAGTCATTAGTTACACATATTTCTTAGTGGGATTTAAAAATGCAGCATTCCATTCTAAAATACATTGTTTTGAAATATTAATTGATTAACATTTTTTTCATCGACTATAGATATCTAAAAATAGTAAAGACTAAGAGTAGGCACCTTTTGAATATGAAGGTTTTGGTTTTGAGAGTTTCTCTCTTCTTTCAGCTGCCTTTTGTACTCAGCTTTATGACCCACCATTGCAATTTTACTTTTAAGAAATTGTTAAAGTAAGCTTGAGGAGAAAGCCAAGCTGCCTGTCAGAACAGCAGTTATTACTACATTGTTTTAGAATATTTTAGATTTTGTAAAATGCCCGTCTTAGCACAAAAGTCACAGTAACTGATTCAGAATAATTTTCTGAAGTCCTCTGTGAGGAAATATTCTAGAGAAATAACACCAAGCCAGAGATATGATCCATAAATTCTCACTGACTGGTTTGTGTGAATGTGGAGTGAAGTGATAAAAATACGTGAAATATGCTAAAGGGTAATTATCCAAAATACAAGTTAAAAGATCATTATATTGATTCTACATTTTCTTACCGATTTGGCGTAACTATAGTTTCAAGAGATTCTCTCTAATTCCAAAAAGATGTCTCAGATTTAGAATCTAATTGGTCACACAGTCATATAAAAAGCAGTCATATAAAGAGCCTGTTCGGGGGATTTTTCTGAGCACACACCACTCTGACTAACTCGGGGCGCCTCCTTTGCATGCCGTTTGTGGATATAGTTGGCGATGTCCGTAGGTTTATTGGGAGGAACATCAGTGATATGGTATCAGTTTCATTCTCAGTCTATAGCCTCAGGCTCTCTGAATAACATGGAGGGGAAAGGCTGCCATGTTTTCAACCAAATAAGACATTTATAAAGTGTTTGCCAAAGACAACAGCTCTTCTCCTTTTGGCAGGCGTTGGAAGACAACATGTCCCTTGACGAGATTATGCAGCTCACATCCATTGACAAGTGGTTTTTGTATAAGATGCGTGACATTTTAAACATGGAAAAGACACTAAAAGGGCTCAACAGGTAAGGCCGTAGTGCTTTGATTGACTCCAGGTATCCTCTGTGCAAGTTTGTCTTCCTCTTACCCTTCCATGTTTGGCCCAAATTCTGCTTCAGTGAAGTAAATGGTGCCAGTGTTGAAAAGCAGTAGCCATAGCCAGGAGAAATGGCAGTTTTTAGATGTTTACCTTTTAAAGTCATCTATTAATATTTTTAGTTTTCTCCTACCCCTACCCTTGCCATCAAACATGGTGATATTTTTATTAGGTCTTTTGAATTTATGAAAATTAGTGTACATTTATGAATTCATGTGCTATTTAATTACCAAGCATTACTTAGATTTAGATTTTATTAATCAATAATGAAATGAATAATATTTCTGTTTTCTGTAAATGTTCCAAGTTCTGAAGTCTATATTTTGCTTTTAATATTAACCTACATGTTGCTGCGTATGGATGAGCAAACATATGCCTCTTGCATTCTACTGATATTTTTAACATTGGGACATTCAGTTTAGCATGCAAATAAGCTGCATTCAAATTTCTGTTCATAGACTCTTTACCTCGTGCTAATTTGCATTTTTATCTCCTTCATGGCCAATTATTTTTAAAAAGTTTATTTCATGTTCAGAATATTCCGATAATATCAGTGTTTTAAAATCTACTTTTTTTTTAAATTTCATGAGAAGGTCGTTCCTTGAGGCACATGAAGTCACAGGTTTTAAGCATGGATCTTTGGTAATAGGAGTATTACCAATTTCAGAAAGACAATAAAATCCTCTTTAGCTTCTCTCCTTCAAGAGGGCTTTGAAATAGTACTGGGAAGAACTCTCACCTGCAAGCCTAGGCGTGTGTTTAGAGAGGGAAAACTTTTGTTTGCATAAATTATTCTCAAGTGATTTTAGTAAATGTAGAAAAGTTAATCACTTAAAATGTGGCTGAAGACAGTGGAAGCTCTCAAAGCCTGGATTTCTCAACTCAAACTACTGCATCATATAATTGAGTTACTGTGTTTACCTAATCAAGATGCACACAAACTGGGCAATAAAAACACTTGCTTTTCTTTTTAAGTAAAATGAGGTTCTTTTTCATCCATTCAACAATTACCTGCAACGATGCTTGGTTTTGAAAATCGGGGATTCCAATCTGCCAAATGTGAAACTAGCTTAGTTGCTTGTAAGTCATCCTTCGTGGTGATCACATAAAATGAACAGTAGATAGCAGATAAGTTAAGAATTGAGCCTGTACATTCATCTTAGAATTTTGCTGACTTGAGGTTTCCTTTCTTGGTTTATGATGCCAGCAGAACTTCTATGTTGAATTATAGTCTTGTTCCAGTGTTTTCAGTTTCAGACAACTGATTTCAAATGCCTCTGAAACCACTCCAATTAAACCACATGAGGGTGCTAGAAACTTACAGTATGCTAATTGTAGCCGTGGAAGAGACCTGGGGTGAAAAACAACAGATGTTATTGTGATTTAAATTTCCACTTGATATACATTCTGATTTTTGGACAAATTAGATGTTTTAATTGAATAGCTTCTGTTACAACCAGAAGGTAGGTTGAAATTCTAACTAAGCAGAAATGAGTGTACGTTGATAGTAAAATAGGTGCTTGGAGGATTATTAGAACGGCTCACTGTTACAGATCACTTACAATATCTTTCTGACTTTCACATTCTGTTGTATTTGTTGCTGATAATTTGACATTTTAAACTAAAGTCTCCATTTTCTGGCATAAATCTATATTTGTAAATATAGATTTTATATTGTTCACAATGATCTACACTAAAATTTTTTTTATATAAAGCTTTTAATAATTTAAAAGACTCTAAAACAGAATGCTTTCAATTATCTCTTGTTTCAAGAACTCAATAGATGATCGATGGTGTTAGGGTGTTAACTAAATCCTGAACTGATTATTATCTGAGGGCCACTTTACGGTTTAATTAATTTTTTTGAGTGTCATAGATGCACACATAGCAATTTGATAGTGATTGTTATTTAGAAGCGTTGGATAAATAAAATAAGAATAGATGGCCACTGAAGCTACCTTTCTCAATTTTTCTGTGTTACACTGGGGTCTGAGGTTGAAAGAATATTGCAACTGATGGTGTAGGACTTGCCTTTTTTTTTGCCCTATTTTGATTATCCTCACCATTAGCCTGGATTATGACATCTTCTGCTTTTTCTCAGCCTCTAATTACCCAAGGATGCTCAGACATCAAGGAAGATACTGCTACAACAGTAATAGGAGTTCTCTAGTAACAGTTGGCATTGTATGGCTGAATTATGTAGTGCCAGTTGGGGAAAGGTTAAGATCAGCTGCTCTTTTTCATTTGTATTTACCTATAGTTAACTTTGTTTCAAAATCTCAGCTGGTCCCATGTTGGAAAGGCTGGCTTTAGACATAGGCTTAGGAGGTAGCTATTTCTTTGGTGTGATTTGGGACGATCCCTAAATTCTCTTGCCTGAATATATTTCTGGTACCAACATGCTCAAGTCCCTTTGAAATTTTCTTATAGGTCCATGGGAAATAGGCAGTGGGAATCTTAATTAGGAGAAAAGGAGAAGCTTAAAGAGAGGATAAAGTATAGAATGCTAAATGTGGGTAAAATTTCACCTGGTTCCTTCCTTGTGGATTGGAAAGAGCACAGGCCATGGGGCCAGTCAGACAGATGGGTGTGCACCACGGAATCACGGGCACGTGACCTCCCTCACTTCTCCAACCTCACATTCTTCCAGCTAATGTCTACTATAATTTTGTTATGGAGCTTAAATGATGTATGTGTAAAGGACCTCTGGCGCATAAGTGCCCAAGAAAGTTTTCTCTTATTCTCCCTGAAGATGAAAATGCTACTTGTTATAATGAAGAGTATTTTGTGATTTTAGATATTATGCATTTTAAGACCCATTTTCAGAGTCACAATTTACACTTGCTTATATATTTTGCAATGTGTCATTTCTTAATTTTCTTTATGATGCATTGGCACTGATTTTAATACCAGCCCTATTTTTGTTATGAGGAAGCAATGATAGCTAGTGATATAAGTGTCATTCTTATCAAAAGATCAATAACAGTCCATTATGCTAATGGGCACAAATTCCCACTCTACAGTTGTTAATCATGCTAAAATTCTTCTAAAATCCAATAAACACATTAACTAGCAGAAGATGAGATTAGCACTTACATTGATGGCAGTCTATGACTTATATTTACATATAGTCGTCTGAAATGAGGTCCAGAATTTGACTTCCAAATGGAATATACCCAATGTAGGCATATATGTGAATGTCTCATACTGGAGTAGAGAAACAAAACAATGATTTTAACAAGGTTGGCACTGTGGAAGTAGCTGATCAGTTTTTCATGTCTGTGAGAAAGTGGAAATTATTATTTTCTTACTTCCTTGAAGAGTGGAGAGAAACACATATCACGCTGAGGATGAAGTATGAAAGCCCAGTCTTCTCCTGGGTGAGGGGACAAGTTAGCCAGTTGTTAGAATGATCAGCTCAGCATCCCTCAGCATCCCAGCTCTGAGTGCTTGCTTCCATCAGAACTCAGTTTGCCATCTTCAATACATGGGCCCAGCAAGGGCAACCCTCTGGAAACTTCCAGAGCAAAATCCATTCTTACCAACTTAGGTATTAATCACTATTCAGACAGCTTCAGCAAGAAAAATTCCTCTTCACTACTTGAGTTCACTGACTTTCTCCTTTTATTCTTAAATTGTTTATTGCTGCCCAAGGGCCTGCTAGGAAAGTTGACTGTTCTAGGCAGTTCCCCAAATTTATAAGCTGGTATAGTGGCATTAATCGACCTGGAGTGATAACATATTTCACAGTGGATTTCTTTAGGTTTTTAAAAGTTTCTCTTTACTCAGTGTGATGTGAGTTGTATCATGGAGGATTCCAATGTGTGTTATGCATATGCATTGGGATCTAGATGTTTGAATTTCACGTTACAAGACCACTTTGCAAGGAGTGTAAAAACTTCGAGCCTGTCAGAAGTTTCAGTGTAGCTGTAACATTTGCATAAGCTTATCCATTGGCCTTCACTGCCAAGCTACCCTGACTTTAGTATATTTTCCCCACACTCACTTATCTTACCAACACTGATTCCTTCACACATAATGCTTCTCCCATATAGCATTTTCACTAGAAGAAAAATATACTTATTTTGATCTATTAAAAATTACAAAAATCTCACCTGTAATCCTTTCCTCTATTAGTGCTTAGACATTCAATTTTGGTCATGCAAATAAATCCGAATTGGAGGGCGGAAGTGCAGGTACCATAAGTCAAGCAGATAAATATGTCAAATGTTTTTATCAACTAGAGTCTCTTGGTAAGAATGGTTCAATAAAGTAACAAAGAATGGGTTTAGAACAGAGATTTGAATTTTGATTCAGTCAAACACCTTCCAAGTGCAAGGTAATAATCACCAAATTTGTTGACTACGTATCAGACACTGCTCTAATACATTGTTTCATTTAATCATTCCCATAACCTAAAAGTCAGTAATTATCCTGACTTTAGAGATAGGAAACTGAGGCACTGAGCTATTTAGCAACTTCTTGATATCACATGCTAGTAAATGACAGAATTAAGACCAAATCTGAGCAGGACTCTAGAACCTAGGATGTTTGATATTTAACCACT